CAGGTCTGTGTCTTCAGCGGATCCCATGTCCATCCTCCCATTTCCACTGCCACAGCTGCAGTGGATCGCTGTGCCCAGAGGACACCGCCATGTACAGGTGACGAAATTAAGACCCAAACAGGTAAAGCAATTGCCCCACAGTGCACTGTTAGTGAAGAAGCTGAGACTGCAGCCTTGTCTGAATCCAAATTTTACACTGGGGGAGGTCCCTCTGGCTTCCTGGCTAGCAGCCTGTGAAACGGTGACATATTAATAATAAGAAATACACATTTAGTCTCTGGTTCGAGTTCCTGAGACAGTGCTTCTAGCACCCTTGTAGATAGGGATACTAAGAGAATTGTTTGTTTAGTATTTGGTCTTTGACCTGATTCCTGAGAGCTTAGTAATTTCCAGAGTGAAAAGAGCATCTGATGAAGAGCTCCTGGATCCCTTGCAGTTTCTAGGGTGATAGGAACATCTTTTGTTCTAGTGAAGCAAGTCTTGGTGGGCTCCTGGGTAGGCTCATAAGGAATCTGGTTACCAGGGAAACCAACCATGGAATTAGAGGGTTGAAGCTTTCAGCCCACTCCCCTCCTCATGACCTCCCTAGATGGGGGAGAGGCTGCAGGTTGAGTTGATCACCAGTGGCCAATGATGTAATCAATCATGCCTATGTAATGAAACCTCCATAAAAACCCCAAAAAGGACAGGGTTTAGGCACTTTGGGACGGCTGAAAGCATGGAGGCTCCTGGAAGTTGGTACACTGGGAGAGGACATGGACGCTCTGTGCCCAGTACCCCACACCTGGCCCTCTGACTCTCATTTATCTGGCTGTTCATATGTATGCTTTATTAATAAAATAGACCATTAAGCATAAGTATTTCCCTGAGTGCTGTGAGCCCTCCTAGCTAATGAACTGAACCTGAGGAGGGAGTTGTGGGAACCTCGCCTTATAGCCAGTTGGTCATAAAGTATAGGTGACAGCCTACTACTTGCAACTGGCATCTGAAGTGGGGGCAGTCTAGTGCAACAGAGCCCTAAACGGATGGGATCTGATGTTATCTCCAGGTATAAAGTGTTGGAATTGAATTGAATTGAACTGCGGGACACCCAGTTAGTGTCTGCTGGACAATTTGGTGGTTGGAGAAATTCCACACACATTTTGGTGACCAGAGGTGAACTGTAGTGTTGAGAACTTGAAAAAGTTTGTTTTCTCCTATCTCAAACACAGCCAAAGCCCACTCCGTAACTAGCTGTTGAATGAAAGAATGAAAAACTGAATAAACCCATGCTGCATTTCTCTACACACCAATTTACTGTAGTCACGCAAACTTGTCACCTTCCACTAGGCTATATCACTGCCACTCACATTGGCTTTCTCTGCCCTTTCCCCCAGTTGCAAAGTACAGAAAGACCTTGTTTTTCTGCTGGAAGATAACTTCTGAACTCACAAACATGCAGGGTTCCTCCGAACGCTCACTGCTGCTATTGAGAGATATACCTCTCTAGTGGTGTAACAAGGGCTACACGAATGAGAGACCCCACAGGTGAGCAGCAATGGGAAAACTGGACTCAGGCACTGCTCTAAAGAGGCAAGATCTCCCGCATGAAGTCTTTTTAATTTTTAATTTTTTTTAACGCTCCAAAAGGGCGTTTTGAAATCTGAGGAGCTGAACTAAATATTTGTCCAATCAATTCCAGGGCCATGTCAAGGGGTGGTGATGCAGAACAAATAGTCGGTGACCTTGCTCCTGGCTCAACCTCTTCTATCCATTCATTCATTTATTCATTCGTTCATGCAACAAATACCAGTTGGGCCTCTCTCATATCCAGTTGGCACTGAGGCCAGGTGGGCTGAGGCAATGCAGGGTGAACAGGGCCCCACCTTTGAAATGTCTAATAGCGATGGTGTGGGTGGGGGCAGACATTCTTTTTTTTTTTTTTTTTTTTTTTTTGAGACGGAGTCTTGCTCTGTCGCCCAGGCTGGAGTGCAGTGGCACAATCTCGGCTTACTGCAAGCTCCGCCTCCCAGGTTCACGCCATTCTCCTCCCTCAGCCTCCCGAGTAGCTGGGACTACAGGCGCCCACCACTGCGCCCGGCTAATTTTTTCTATTTTTAGTAGAGATGGGGTTTCACCATGGTCTCGATCTCCTGACCTTGTGATCCGCCCGCCTCGGCCTCCCAAAGTGCTGGGATTACAGGCGTGAGCCACCGCACCCGGCCAGACATTCTTATCAGGTCAACCATTCTGATGGTGGGATGACAGTCTGCCTTAGGGAGCTGAAGGGTTTCTGTGAGATCTTGAGAGAGTGCAGATTCTTAGAGGTGGGACGCTATGGGAAACCTGGCAAAACAAGACTTTCTGTGACTGCAGCCACTGGGTACATGAGAGCAAGAGGAGGAACTGAGGCAGAACAGGCAGGAGGTGACCAGATCAGGGAGGGCCTTGACTGTAGATAGAGGCTTTGAACCTTATTTTGTAGGCAATACGGAGCCATCGGCTATTTTTGAGTAGTGGAGGGTTGAGATTAATCAGAATAAGGAGGCTTCACTCTCAAGGCTGAATCGAAGATGACTTGCTTCCTTTCTCTCTCCTTCATCACATCAGGGCTGCGGTCATTCAACATCACCACCCCCTGCCGTGCTGTTGCCATAGTAACCCTAGACCTTGGCCTTCTTTCAGGCTTGTCTTCCACTCTGGAATTCACTCACCCACCTGCCTCTGTGGGGGCAGAGGAGGGAGCGAGTCAGCCTGGGCCTTACTTTATTTCTTGCCTGATTGTTGAAAAACAGAATCCAACTTCCCAGAAGGCACAGGGGGAAATGAATCACTCTTTGAGCTAGCAGGTTTGCTTTTCAGCCAATAAAATCAAGGGGTAGAAACGAAGGCGTGCATTCCCCTGAGCCCCAGAGGCCTTGGGTGCCCTCAGGCATTTACTGGACAGCTTCTCCTGAGTGAAGCCCAGAGCTGGTATAACTAACTCAAAATGGCCTCACCAGGCAATTTCCTTTACAGAACATTTCCTCGTCAAGTTCTCCTGAGGCTGCACTCATGTCGAGCTCAGGGCTATGTTTTAGGGACAGGAAGGGAGAGGAACCCCTTTGGGCTTTCCCCTTCCATCTTCCTCCCTTCCGCAAGGACTTTTCCACAATACAAGAGTAGTCTGTCTATTGCTCCAAATATCGGTTTCCTGGTTTCCTGGCAGCGAGCCTATTCCTGTGGTTGCAGCACTATTTGGGCCAGGGAACCCCATGTCACACAATTACTGGAATATTTTGACTCTTAAACAATCATCAACACCGGAGGCAGCTCTCCGGCCTGTTCCCCTGGTCACCTTCTCCTTGGTGAAAATTCTGGGTTTGTGACAGTGAGACATCCCACTTGCCAGAGCCAAGAGCCTGGGCCAGCTGGGTCTTGTTCTAAAGTCCATGGCTGAGTTTTCAGTATCGGCCCTGGGCCTCCTGGACACTGAGCAAGCGCCCTAGAGTGCACATGGCAAGCAGCCACGATCCCCAAAGCCTAGAAGATTCTTTGAGCTGTTCCTAAAGTAACAGCGCCCAATCTTTCAGTCCAGGACAGACTCTGGGGGAAGATTCCGCCCCCACTAGATCTACCAAGAGAGGAGAGCTGAGAGCTGAACGCTTATTTAGAAAAACTTCCGGAAGCTCAGTTAGGAACTTCAGGCACCACTGTGGTGAGAAGGGCCTATAAATCTTCTGCCTTTTGGGAATTTCCCCTTGTGAGGATTCAGTGTCAATTTTCCTGAGTAGCGAAAGTGGCAACATGAAAAAGGTTTGGGGTCCCCAGATGGCAGTGGGATTTTGTGGAGAGACCCCCAGCTCGGAGCCTGTGGTGGCAGCACTGACTGTCAGGGCTGCTGGAATGAGAGTAATAATAATATAGCTAATGTTTGCATAGCACTGTTGTGAGACTTGACATATACAGTCACTGTTTAATCCTCCCAACAGCCCTATGAGGTCAGTAGTGTTATCATCATCCCAGTTTATAGATGAATATACTGAGGCCCAGAGACGTGAAATGACTTCCCCAGGATCACACAGCTTCTAAGGAGCACAGCTGGGACTTGAACCCAGGAATTCTGGTTTTGAATATGCTGGCAACCTGGACGCCACCGAGTGGGAGTGAAATGGCCCACCTGGCAGGAGGATCAGCGCTGATAGGAGAGCGTGTGGGAACTGTTGTGCTGGCCCTGAAGGCACAGGGTGAGCTGGGCCGAGGAAAAGGAAAGGAGGCGTCCTTCCTGGCTGGGTTGTTCCCAGCTCTAACTGTCCCGGGAACTCCGTGTCCATGGTCAAGGGCTGGAGACGGTGCTGGAACCCAGCTGCCTCTGATGTCCTGGCCACCAAGAAAACCACAGGGTCCGGCCCAGAGAAATGCATTTGCCAGACATCACCGAGGCTCAGAGCAAACAGAACCACATCCCATTCACCTGCCTTGCCCTGTGGAAGGGATGGTTTATTCTCACAGACTCTGGGTGGGTCCACTCCACATACTCAACCAGTCTGAGCTGGACCACCTGGGTCAGAAAGGTGGGGAAACTGAGGGCCAACAGGGCGAGGATTTGCCCGAAGATCCAGAGCACAGAGCCTGGATGCAAAAACAAGAGCCTCTGGGTCTGCAATGTGCTCTGTGGCCACAGCCACTGTCCTGGGAGAGCCACGGGCCACATCTCCGTAGCCACAGGAGGGGGCAGTGCCTCACTGGGCTCTTCTGACCAGGTCCCTGTGGAAGCCGCCCTGGTGGTGTCTGCCCTTCCGTGGCTTTCTCAGCCCCTGCTCTGGAGCAAGCTACTAGCCCTGCCTGAGGCAGCTGACTGCCCACACCCTGTCCCCTTCCCATAAACCTGGGTAACCTGCTAGAGCGGGACTTGGAGCTCCTCATACCTTGTGTCTGGGACCAGGTCTGCCAGGGGAGTCTGGGGCAAACCCCGGAGGGGCAGGCAGAGGATGCATTTATTGAGTGTCTACCACATACGAGACACTGAACCAGGGTCTTCGTGGCATCGTGTTGTTTACTCGGAACAACCACCCTGTTGTGGAAAGGGCCCGCCCCCTTTCCAGAGGCAGAAACTTGCTCCAAGAGGTTGGATGCTCTGCCAGAGGCTGCACAGCGCCAGGGTGTGGAATGTCCAGGCCCTGCCCATCTCAGTGCCGCTCCCCACTCCCCACGGGCCAGCACCTGCTGTCCTGGACTCCTGGACCTTCGGCGTCTTCCTCGTCCCCTACTCTAAACACAGAACTACTCACACCCAGCCCTCCCCTGCCGTATCCTCCTGCTCGGAACAGATGAGCAGCCCTGGGAGGGCTATGGTTTCGTGGGGTCGACGACCTTGCCCAGAAAGAGGACACTCTTGGTGCTGGTGGAAAAGATCACCACAAGGAAGGGCCGGTTGAACCGCAGGACATGGCGATTGGTCTGGGCAGAGAAGAATTTGACCGCAAAGCTGGTGGCTGCTGCAGCCTCGGTGCCAGCCTCATCCACATCCAAGGTGGCCTTGTGGAAACTCTGGGAGGAAAATTACAAGCATTATCTCCAAGCCAGCAAGGGAGGGGGCCTGGACAAGACTGCGAGAGTCAGAAACTGCTAGGGAATACATTGCCCTTTATAGCCTGCGAGGTCACTTCTTGGGGATAACACAGTAAGAATTTCATTTGGGAGGATTTTTGAGCTGGAGACCTCCTGCCACACACAGTCACGGCAGCTCTCATTAAATGAATGCTTGCTCTGTGCTCGGGGCTTTGCATGCATCTTATGTGATCTTCATAGCCATCCTATGAGGTCAGCAGTATGGTTCCCATTTTAAAAGTGAGGAATATAAATTCAGAAACTAGTACCCCTTCAATAACATAAGAGGAAGAACCAGAATTCAGCTCAAACCCAAGGCTCTACCCCCTCGCGCACTTTTCTTGGCAGTGGCCGGATCTTAGCTCACTGCAAGCTCCGCCTCCCGGGTTCCCGCCATTCTCCTGCCTCAGCCTCCCAAGCAGCTGGGACTACAGGCGCCCGCCACCTCACCCGGCTAGTTTTTCGTATTTTTTAGTAGAGACGGGGTTTCACCGTGTTAGCCAGGATGGTCTCGATCTCCTGACCTCGTGATCCGCCCGTCTCGGCCTCCCAACGTGCTGGGATTACAGGCTTGAGCCACCGCGCCCGGCCTTAGCAGAAGTCTTGAGTCTCTTTCTCTCATCTACGAAGCCTCCCTCATACAGATGCACCCAATGCAGCCTCAGCTGTGTCTCTCCTCTCTGTTTCCTCCTTTTTTTTTCTTTCTTTATTATTATTATTATTTTTTGAGATGGAGTCTCACTCACTCTGTCACCCAGGCTGCAGTGCAGTGGCCTGATCTCTGGACACATTGCAACCTCCACCTCCCAGCCTCAAGTGATTCTCCTACCTCAGCCTCCTGAGTAGCTGGGATTACAGGTGCCCACCACCTGCCACCACACCAGGCTAATTTTTGTATTTTTAGTAGAGTTGAAGTTTCACCATTTTGGCCAGACTGGTCTCGAACTCCTGACCTCAGGTGATCTGCTCGCCTCTGCCTCCCAAAGTGCTGGGATTACAGGTGTGAGTTATCACGCCCGGCCCTGCCTCCATTTTCTATCATTGCATATATCGCTCTATGAAGACGTTGTATCTCTGACTCGTCTGGGAGAGCTGTCTGAGTTAGGGGGTTGATTCGACACTATATCCCAGCACCGAGCACCATGTCCAGGGCTGGCTAATTGGTGGATGCTGATGTCTGTAGATGACTGAACACACTCAGGCTCTGAGACTCCATGTGGCAGCTTGGGAGCCCCATCACTCGGCAACTCCCATGGGCACAAGTGCCCCACCGAGTTCTCTAGGGGTTGATGACTTACTTTGGATGCCTCCAGTTTTCGCTGTTTGGTGATGCCAGATAAGTCAGCCCACTTGGAGAACAATCCACGAAGCCCAGCCTGGGCAAAATCTGATCTAATACATAGGAGCCAGAAATGGAGAACTTGGGGAAATGCAACTCTAGCTTCTTGTAAAAATTCCTGAAAGGGGCATTGGGTTAAAACATTAGATTAATGAACAAGCCAGGATCCCTGCTGGGCACAGCCCTCCTTGGTGGCCCTCTTTAGCTGGCTGTATTCCATCTGAGTTCTATCCCCACAAACAGCTTTGGCTCAGACTACCTCCCACAAACGGGTGTTGAAAGGCCAGGTTCCTTTGTCCCCAGGGCCTGCTGTCTGTGGGATCTCCTGTCCGTGGTAGCCCCTCTTCAGAGGTTGCTTTCTGTGGGTGTTCTGGTGCCCAGGGAGACAGATGTAAGTCCCGCCAGGTGGCAGTTTTGCCCTTGCCTCTGTTACAGCCCTGTGGGTTTTATTCTTTGCGAACCAGCTAATTTCTTTGTATTGGATTCCCTCTACCATGAAAGTTGTGTGATTTTTCTATTCACATGTGCCCTTGGGCTAGGATGCTTTTCTTATATATGGTTGAAGACTTTTTCCAATCATAGCCAGCATGATGGGAAGCCTTCCTGTTAATTCCTTGGGTGGGTGGATGGAGTTTTTTTGAATCGCGCCATGGCAGCTTAGTCAACCTTCTGGGCCAGAGGGGCTACCTCTTCATTGCACAGAGGTAACCCCCCAAGAGTCAGAGTCACTTGACCCAAGTCTTGTGCAGTGGAAGAGCTATGTCTAGAACCAGGACTCTGAACTCCTACTGTGGTTCTTTTTTCCCTAACGAGGGAGAAGTCATATTTTAAATATAATAGGAGAGTTCATCATTTAAAGGAAGCCCATGGAAGGTCTCAGAGCAAGTGAGAATTCTCTCATAATTGGCAATCACTCCCTATTTTGGGGCACTGTCTTTCATTAGAAAGGTATATTTGATGGATAGTACTGTAGATTCAGCCCCCATAGCACACTGATTACCTCTTCTGCAACAAGTTGTTCCACCTCATTAGCATCTCTGGAGTCAAAACCTCTTCAATCTCCCTCATTTTGCCTTCGTTAGGGAGAATGAAAAACACAGTTGCGTCTCCTTTGTAATCCATCCGTAGCACTGAGCAGGGCAAGTATCTGTCATGAAGATACCAGTGGTGCTCCTGGTCCTGCAGCATCATGGGCACCTGGACTGTTGTATTCTCATCAACATAGAAGTCTTTGGGAGTGGTCCTCGAGGAAATGAATGGTTTCTCCCACAGGGCTGAAGGGAAGATGAAAAGAAGGTACAGGACATCTGTGGGCCACAGAGTCAGTCCTCCAGCCAGGGAAGGCCACCTGGTGTTCCAAGCTACTGAAAGAGTAGCTCCAGATCCTGCCCTATGAGCTCATCAAGGTGTCCCATTTTGACCATTCAAAACCTGACTTGCCTGGGGAATGGATCCCATTTAAATTTTAAAATGAGAGATAGCAGAGGATGTTCATTTTCTAATATGTGAATAGGATTGATAGAGAAGAAACCAGGGATGCTGGAAAGAGGGGTTCATTGTTAGGTAAGCATCCTTGAGAAGGAGAGAGGAGATAGCAGAGTATGAGCAGAGGGGTTGGCCTTCCGTGAGAGGTGGGTCACTACTGCCATGATGAGAGGAGGACGTCTGAGCTTGTGGGTTCAAATGCAGGGAGGTGAGTAGATTTGGAGGTGAGAAGATTTGGAGGTGAGTAGATTTAGAGATGAGAAGATGAGAGATTTCCTGTTTAACTGATTCTATTTTCTCAATGACGAGTGAGACAAGATTTTTAAGTGAAAGTCGTGAGTGGGGAGGACATTTGAGAAGGATGAATCTGTTATTTTAGTAGTTTTGGAGAGTGGAGATATGTAAGTAGGATTGCTGGACAGTGTAGAGAGATCAATGAAGATTTACATTCACAAATATCAAGTGAGACCATCCGTCTAGTTGGATGTTTTTCTTCAACCACATTCAGCTGCTGGGTGCAGATGTAGACGAGTTAGACCTTTAGGTTTAAGCAGGTTTGCAGTTTTGGAGGGTAAGTATGATAGAGGGAAGGAAAACCAAGAAAGTTAAGACTTCAGAGTGTTTGCAAGGAAGTGAACACAATGATGGCCATGCAGTGTGAGGAGGGAAGCAAGGATAGCAGGCGATGTGCAATGAGGTGGTGGCAGGTAGGGTGAATGGACTGAGGTCTCCATGCCAGGAATTTTTGTCCAGGGAAAAGCAAGGGATCTGGGATTATAATCAATGTCTTCCTGACAGTGAAACCCATACTACTGTTTCTCTTCCTTCCTTGGTTAATTTTTTTTTTGAGTTTAAAAGTTTTGTTATTTCAAAGCAAAGTTTCTTTTTTGGAGATGGAGTCTCTTTCTGTCGCCCAGGCCAGAGTGCAGTGTCGCAGTCTCAGCAACCTCCACTTCCTGGGTTCAAGTGATTCTCCTGCCTCAGCCTCCTGAGTAGCTGGGATTACAGGCATGTGCCATGAAGCCTGGCTAATTTTTTTTTTTTTGTATTATTAGTAGAGACAGGGTTTTGCCATGCTGGCCAGGCTGGTCTTGAACTCCTGATTTTAAGATACGCCTGCCTTGGCCTCCCAAAGTGCTAGAATTATAGGTGTGAGCCACTACGCCCAGCCTCAAAACAAAGTTTTTTAAAAAAAGTTTTCAATAGTGCATGAAAATTCCACATGCAAATTACATGGAATAACTAATTTGGCTGAATCATTAGGCTGGGAGTTGCTCCCTATAATTTTATTCCCTGTAAATTCTGGGTTCAAGCTGGTTAGAACTGTGAGATTTCAAAGTAAATTGCTCTCTGAAGGCCCTGGTGGTCAGATATGACGATGGTCAGACTCAGCAGTGCTTTGTGTGCTCCAGTTTGCCCCTGCTTGTTTCCAAGCTTCTTTTCCCAACTCTAACCCCACTAAACAATAGCAGCCCCAGGCTACCACCAGAAACTACGCAGTGATGCTCCCCTCCATGGCGGCACTCTGATGGCTGCATGAGCCTGGCATATAAATTCCTCTCCAAGCTCTGACTTGTCCACTTGCATCGGCAACTTTCTCTCTGTCCTCCCAACTCTTCTTTCTTCTAGATCTTCACTTTCCCAGCCACAGTTGTGTGGGGCCTAATTCCTAGAACAATCTCCTTACCATTGACTTGAGATGGCTTTCCTTCTCTGATGAAACCCTGACTAATCCACACTGTACAAAATTGTTCGCACACTGTGATATCAACTGTGTGGACGTATATGTGTGTGAATGGAAGGTGAAGAAAAGATGCTAAAACATTAACATTTGTTGCCTCTGAGTGGTAGGACTAGAGATTATGTCTACTTTCTCCTTTATGGTTTTACATATTTGTAAAGCTTCAAAATGAGCATTGTTATCATTACATGAATTATAGTTGCTATTTACTGAGTACATAAAATGGTCAGGGGTCAACAAACAAAAAAGTTTATAGAGATATTAACTGTTTTAGGCACTGCAGATCATTCCATCTCTGCAGTAATGAATCAATCTGCCATTGTAGCACAAAATCAGCCACAGACAATACATAAATGAATGGGCCTGGCTGTGTGCCAATAAAACTTTATTTGCAAAACCAGTGGCTGAACACATTTGGCCCAGGGGCTGTAGTTTGTCCATCTCTTTAGATCCTTTTATAAGGAGTATACACATGGGTTAATCATTTCATCCTCAAAGCCAACCTTTGAAGTAGAGATTTGTCTTATCCCCGCTTTGAGCAAACAAGCTGACCTGTTTGCACTGTTGGTAGAGGCTGAGCTCAGATATGAATTCAGCAATTCAACTCGTGATCACTGGCTAGAATGCATTTTGTACATTACTTTTATTAAGAAAATAAATGAGAAAATATGTCTAAAGATAGGAAGGAATGGAAACCTCAATACTACAGAGTCTTCAACATACAACATTCTAACATTGCATTCTCTGAGGGCTGCTTAACTCTATCAAACACAACCTTTTTACTTACCCTTTTGTAAAAATATATTTAACCAGTCAACAAATTAGGGGGTTGGAGGTGGGGGTGTGGATTTAGCACACACCAATGATCTGACTCTCACCTTTGAAGTAAATGTAATTCACCAGCACCATCAAGACGTCCTTCTTGAGCTCACTGACCAAATCCACAATCTTCCCTCGAGTTTCCTTCTTGACGTGGTCGTTGATAAGCTGGATTGTGCCCACAGTGTCATAGAAGTTGGTGTGGAAGAGTTTGGCCTCATAGAAGGCCGCGGTGTCATTCAGGAATTTTGCAAGGAACTTCAGGTTGTGGCTCAGGAACAGAGCACTGCCCACGCGTGTTTCCAGCCCATGACCGGGGAGGCTGATAGTGTGCAGGAGGTGCTGGAAGCCCCTGTGGATGTCGGACTCAGACAGCTCTGTGAGGTTGAAGCCCAGGCCCTCGAGGATCTGACTGCGGCTGTGTGAGCAGGCCCCCAGGGAAAGCATAGCATAGGCGGCCGAGATGCTCAGCGGGGAGAAAAAGATGTTCTTCCCCGGGGTCTCCGAAGCGATCAGGTAGTAGAAGCGGAAGGCAAAGTCAGCATTGGCAGGGGCGATCTTGAGACTGGGGGAACCCTCACCTGTCTCCAGAATCTGCCGGTGGGAGGAGCTGTTACTGCAACTCTCACCATCATGCTCAACGTGCAGCTGGCCATGAGAAAGGGCCAGTAGTCCAACCAGCAGGAGGAGCAGGTAGTCGATAAGATGCATCCTCTGCACTCTCAGGCCTATGGGAGGGAAGAGAATGCCCAGGAAATTCCCCCAGCAGAACACCTGGCCCTGCTGAGAAGGCGGGCAGTGGGCCAGCACCTGGAGATCGTGAGTGACACCCTCAACTCCTGCAGATGAGCTTGTGAAAGGCAATGTAACGCCCACCACCTTCCACATGTATGGTGACAGCAACACTATTGGATGGCAATGCTTTAGACATACAAGGCACACTCCTCGCATCCATCATGTCATTGTGCTTCCCACCTGTGTGAGCTCTGCACAGCACTAGACTCCATTCTCACCCAACAGAGCAGGAAACGAAGACTCCCAAAGTGACTCACCCAAGTCACCTACCTGACAAATATCCTAGCCAGAACCCACATCCCCAGACTCAGGTGCTGCTTCTCCCACACTTCTCTTTCAGATGAGTTGATTTCATTAGCACAGTGATTTTGCACAGAGGATGGCAATCATCAGAGTTTATTTCAGTGTCTGCTCCACAAACATCTGTGGAGTGCTTTATATCGTTTACAAACCACTTTCATGCCATTTAGTTGGACCCTCCCACTCCTGTAGAGGTCAGTAGAACTGGTCTTTGTATTGTTACCCCGTGCAGATGAGGACATGGATGTTTAATAAGTGTCCTCACTTATTAAAGTGAGGATCAGGACAAAGTTGCGGGGATAGAATTGGTACCCTTTTCATAATGAACATCTGTCCAAGACAGGATGCTCCAGTTTCTCCCCCACATCTGCTCCTGCCCCATCAAATGGTCCCACCAGTATCTGGTTGTCAGGCCAAAAAGCCTCTAGCCTTCTATCCACCCACAATCCATTTAATCCACTTCCATGGCCTGCAGGGTTGGGTTTATTTTATTTTATTTTATTTTTTGAGACAGGGTCTCACTCTGTCACCCAAGCTGGAGTGCAATGGTGTAATCATGGCTCACTGCAGCCTTGACTTCCTGAGCTCCAGTGATCCTCCCACTTCAGCCTTCCAAGTAGCTGTAACCACAGGCGTGCACAGCCACACCCAGCTAAATTTTTGTAGAGTCAGGGTCTCACCATGCTGCCCAAGCTGGTCTCCAACTCCTAGACTTTCCTGTAGGTTCTTCAGCCTCTCCCCCGCTCCACTGCTATGATCCTCAACCAGGGCTCAGAAAACTTTTTCTGCAAAGCGCCAGATAGTAATATCTGTGGTTTTGCAGACCACACAGTCTCTGCTGCCACTACTCAACTCTGCTGTGGCAGCTGGAAACAGTCTCAGACCAGACATGCATGAACAGGCGTGGCTGTGTTTCAGTGAAACTTCACTTATGGACACTGAAATGTGAATTTCATGTTATTTTCCTATGTCACAAAATGTTGTTCCTCTACTGATTTTTCAACCCTTTGTATATTTACCTTTTATACTTATCACTTATATTTTACATTTATATTTTATATTTTGCATTCTTAGCTCATGGGCGGTGGGCCAGATTTGACCTACAAGCTGTGGTTTGTTGACCCCTGACCTAGACCCTTGCAGAAAGCTTCCTAGTCTTTCTGCTCTCTGTTCTCCACTCAGCAGTTGGAGGGATCACTTAGAAACATACACAGGACTGCATCACTCACAGACACACCTCCCCTCCGGCATGAACTCCCCAAGATCACCTGGATTGGGAACCAGAAGGCCTTGGCCCCCAGTCAGCGCTGCCCTGTACCAGCTGTGTGTCCCTGGGGGAGGCTTTTCTGGGTCTCCAGGCGCAGTCACCCACCAGTGCCCATGGATCTGAGGTTGGGGGCTTTCTAGCCTGAGTATTCCTCACCTCTAGCAAGAGTGACCAAGTGTCCCAGTTTGCCTGGGACTTTCCTGGTTTTAGCACTGAAAGTATGTCCTAGAAGAATTCTCAGTTTTGAGCAAAACAGAACAGTTTGTCACCCTCCCTCTAGAGGCTCTCTCGTCTCCATTGTCTCAGAGGGTTACTCACGGCACAGTCTGTCCTGGAGTGGACCCCCTGGGTAGCTGTCTCAGCTCTGTCTTGTCAAGCCCAGGAGGACTGGTCAAACCAGGCCTTCTCAGTACCACCCACTGTCTCCCAACCAGGTAATTATTAACAAACAGGCCACGGGCGCAGCACTGCCTAGACAAGGAAAACTCACCAGAAGTAGCTTCACCCCCTCCCAAGAAGACACCCCACTTCCCACCTGGGGAACCCCAAGAGGGTTCACTTCTTCATGTTTGTACAGTGCATGGAGGTTCACCTGGTGCTTGGTGCTCCCTGAGGGCCCGGGGAGCCCCTTGGAAGGTCTGGTCTCCACCCAGCCCCTCATTGGCTGTGTGAGGTTGAGCTCATTTACTCCCTCTCTGAGCTTCAGTCATCCACCTCCCGCCTACAACATGAGCGGCTGGATCATACAGGGCAGCAAGCTCCAGTGCCTTCATAGACCAGATAAGGAAGACTCCATGGTGCCACGGTGGGGAATGGTGGGGATGTGGGGAGACAGCCAGCTCTCTACAGGCCAGGCAAGACCCACTTGTGGGCGGGGCCTTGCAGCGGGGCCTCCAGTTTGCAATCCTGGAATCTGTGATTTCTGAGGATAGAGTCCACTGAGATCTCATAGGTCATACCATAAGGACAGTACATCCCAGGGCAAGGGTGGCATAGGGTGGGACCAGGAACCTCCTTTGGCCAGGAATTCAACTTGCATTTTTCTTCTTCAGCCATGGAATTGTTCTCTCCCCAGTAATCAGTGAACCTCTGCACCCTTGCACCTTTATACCCTCCTAGGGCAGCCATTTCTCACGCCATGTGGGGAAGGACTGCAGGGAGCAAAGTGGCCCTGGGTGTCCTGACTGAGATGACCTTGACCATTCAGGCATCCTCTAGCAAACTTTCTGGGTGTGTTTCCAGCTTGCTGGGCCTTAAGGTAAGTGGAATATATACCACTGAGCAGCACAGTGGGCTGGGATCCCTGAGCCCACATGGGATGGCAGAGCAAGCACAAGCACAGCCCTGAAGCCAGCTGGCCTGAGGTCCAAAATGGGTCAACACCAGGACAAGAGAGGAAGCTGGTGGGTCAGGCAGAGTGAGAGCTACTGTCTCAGTGGATTCTTGCTTTCCCTCACTCATCTCTCTCTTCCTCTTGCCTACACACTCTAGGAGTACTATGTGTGGCCCATTTATAAATGAGACAATATAAGCCCGAAGACACTGTTAGCTCAGATTCCAGAGTCAGGGTCTGCACCGGGGCCACTAAACATGAAGCTCATGTTCCTTCCCAGCACCTGCTGCTTCTCCATGTGGACAGACCTTTCCTGCCACCAGAATAGCAGCTCCTACTTTGCTCACTGCTGTACCATGCACTAGAGCAGAACGTGGTGTAAGGGACATGCTCTATGCATGTTGACTGAGTGAGTCAGTGAGTGAAAGATGGCCATGGACTTTTGCTCTGATGGATGTGAAAATACATCATTCCCCTTACAATGGTCTACAGTCTGGGGTTTTGCTCTTTTAGTCTTGCTTCTTCAGTGAGTTAGGGGCTGATGCTACAGATTCCAGGGGTTAGCATGTACTTGGCTGCAGCCCAGAGGATGGACAGCTTGTCCCTGCCATGAGCACACAGTCACTGCCCTTTAGTTCCTGGTGCCTGCCCCTGGGACGCTCTGGACAGAGGTTGGGCTTTGGCATCAGACAGGCTCCCTCACTGCTGAGATGTGTGACTTCAGGCAAGTCACTCCACCTCTCTGAACCTCAGGTTTTCGCCTGCCAAATGAGAGGCAATAATCACTAATCAGAAAAACTGATATGAAGGGCAGAGGCAGCACCCTCAAACCTTCCGAGCCCCACATCAGCCTTAATAGGTGCTACCTTCTTCCCTTCCCATCCCAGCAGTGGTGGACAGCCAGACTGTCTGGGTTGAATCTGGACTCCACCACTACTTAAGTTACTTAACTCTGCCTCAGTGTCCTCATCTGTAAACTGTGGGTAATAATTGTCCCTAAATCTCAGGGTTGTTAAGAAGAGTCAGTAAACTGACATCTGTAAAGTCCTAGAATAGCATCTGGCCATAGTGAGTGCAGTGGAAGCGTGAGTTAGTCCGTCGTATTATTCCAGATGGGTTGTAAATTACTCATTTATCCCCAAAGGTGTACACATGGCTGAAACCATGTCGTTAAACTTGTTTGGAGTTGTGATTCTGATTATCTCAAGAAAGCTTTGAACTCTCCCTGAAATATGCACAGATGCATGTTTTACAATTTAGGGAGATTCTTGAATCCCATGAAGTCTGTGCAGTCCCTGTGGGCTAGAGCAGTTATTTTTTCCTGCAAAGAGCAGGCCCATATAAAAGCAAGGTGGAAAGAACTCTCAGGCATGTAATGGGAGCCACTGACTTGGACCCTGCAGGAGAAGGAGGGAATGACTGCCATTGGTGTGGCTGCAGGCTGGGTTCAGTCGCTAGCTCCAGGCTCAGTCCTGCCTAGCAGCCTGGCTGCTTCTTGTCTTAAGGTGTCTGGGAAGGCTTCAGGATTGTCGAACCCTCGCCTATCACATCTTGAAGACCAAGCGTTTCTTGTTAATCATCCGTAAGGTCCCAGAGGACAATGAATTGTGCCACAGTCATACCTGGGCACATCAGAACAGGCCTGGCCTATAGAAGATGCGTAACAGAAGCCAGTCATTGAATGAATGAATGAATGAAGAATGAATAAATGAAGAGATGCCAAAGGCCCCGCTCAAAGGTGCTGCTCAGGTGTTCCAGTGGCAAGATCCTAAAATCTGCAACACTCTCGGCAAGTATTGGTTTAAGGAAGCGGGGATCAGTTGCCTGACCAGGAAGGCCAGGGTGGATGTGGGGAAGAAGAGGGCTTGACTGCCTCTCTTTGCCCCTAGGAAATACCACTGGGCCAGGTGGGGCAGCTGCTGTGACACCATTGATGTCCCCGGCAGAGAGCCAGTTTTTCCAGCATCCCAGAAGCTGCCTGAACTGTGCTGTAGGCATGAATCGCACTCCCTGACACCCTCCTCTGCTCCACTGCATCCTAAATCATAGCCCAGCCCTTTCTCAACGGCTGTCTTGGTCTCCCATTCCAGCACAGGCTCCACTTATGCTGCCCTTCTGCTAACTGCTCCCAAACCCCTTCCCATTCCCTGGATTCCAAATGGAGCCAGGAATTTAATCTGCCCTTAAAAAGGCTGTCCTTGTTTTGAATTTGATGGGCAATGTAATAATAATGGTCATCATGAAAAATGTGGGAAAATAGAAAAATCTGGAGAAGAAAATAAAATCATTTGCAAACCTGGTGTTCAGCTTATGACTAGATATAATTGGTTTCCTTCCAGTCTTGTAAGAAATGGGTATGTGCTCATACAGAACAGCAACAACAAAGCTCTTCCAGTCTTGGTTTGGATGGAGGCACAAAGACTATAAATGGTATAGTCCAAAGAGAGCTCCATGCAAAAATTCCAGAGTAGGTTGTCAAGAACAGGTTTGATTCTTAATGATTCTTAAATGCTTTACTTATGTGAAAGAGGACTGAAAAGTGGTGAGAGGTGGGGACTGAGAAGGAATTACAAAGAGGAAAGAGGGAAGTGCTTCTCCCATGTTATCTTAAGAGTGCAGGGCTTCAACAAAAGACTCATGCAACACAATATGTATCCCTGAAGTTAGAGAGGCTCAGGGGACTGGGGCTTGATGCTTGTCTGGAAATGCTAAAAGGTGTAGGTGGGCTGTTTAGACTCTCTAGGAACTCTACATCTAATTCTCTGTCCCTCTCTTAAACTCCTCATTTTCTATCTGGCGTTTAGATACACGGATACACAGGATACCCATATGTCCTAGTTATGTATGGCTGGGAAACAAGCCACCCCAAATTTAGTGGCATAAAACAACGGCAGTTGTTTGTCATTATTATTGCTATCTCTACAGTTCTGGGAGTTGATTGGGCTCAGCTGGGTGGTTTTTGCTCAGGGTCTCTTATGAGGTTGCAGTTGGACAGGAGCTGAGACTAGAGTCATCTTTAAGGTGGATATGCTTTCAGACCACCACATGTGATGTCCCTGTTGGACTATGGGCTTTTAGGAAGCAAGGAAAGTGTTTTATTCCTTTTTCTTCCTGAATTTGTGTCTTTCCCTCTAACTTTCATAGCTTAGCACATTGCTTAGCATAGAACAAGTCCTATGTTAGGGTCTGTTGAATAAAAAACAATAATTAGACTTCATTCAGGATCATCCTGGTGGATGGGAGGCAAGACTAGATTGCAGCTGTGACTCGGATGGACAGAGCAGCATGCGGAGGCTTGCAGGGTGAATTTTAGTGCCAAAATGACTTCAAGAACAAACCAGGAATCCTGAGAGGACACACAGACCCTCTGAAGGAAGTGGACTGCCCCTGCAGAACCAGGAGACACCCCAAATACTGTGAGCACCCAAACTGCGGAAATGGGAAAGGGAGACCCTCCGCTATGAAACACACATCCCTACTGGGGAAAATGAAGGCGTAGTTTGTGGGAGAAGTTTCTGACCTTACCTGGACTTGAGTCAATTTAGAGAGCCAAGGGAAATACAGGGGTAGAGAAAGCAGTGGGAAAGGCCCTGGGAGCTTGCTGGATCCCCAAGCAGGCTATTCCTGCCTGGCACCACAGGAGCCCTTCGAGAGAGTGGCCAGAGGTGTGGGGGAAAATGCCACAGGGAGAAGGAAGTCTCCAGCTGAAATTTGTAACAACTTGAAGAGGGCAAGAAGCTTCCTGGCCAGAAGTCAGGGAAGGGTGCAAATCCAGTGTGCAGACTCCACAGGTAGGGGAAGAACCAAAGCCCTGTTCTTTCACGGTTGGGAGGTGGGTAACCTGGGGCAAGTTCTCAAGCCCTGCTCGCCCATTGCCTGGAAACAGACTCAGGGCTGTTAGCAGGGGCATGATGGGAGTGAGACTGGCCCTTCAGATTGTTTGGGAGCTGGGTGAGGCCTGTGACTGCTGGCTTTCCCCCACTTTCCTGACCACCTGCATGACTCAGTAGAGGCAGCCGTAATCCTCCTAGGTACACAACTCCATTGACATGGGAACCTCACTCC